CCCCCCCGTCTCTAGAATATTGAATCATTTAGAAAAGAAAAAAACTCTAAATAAAATTTTTGATCACTTGGATGTCTGATTCTAGGTTCTAAACTAGGGGGATTCTTCATTTTTAATTAGGGACTGGTAGCCGTCTATAATTTCATATGTCGATTAAGGTCGTTTAAAAAACACAGAAAACACCATTTCTCAATTATAGAAAGTATAGCCACAAAGATAAGCTGATACAGTAGATGTAACTAGAAAATAGAAACATACTTAAAAATCAAGTAACATTATATAACCTTATATACTGTAAAGTTATTCCTCAATTTACACCAACCACGATTGTTATCGCTCAACGTTCATCCATCATGCGCAATCATTGTTCGTTCAATTTTTGTATTGGTTGCACATTGGGCACCCTTCTTGCACGAATCGTGCGCACACCGCACATCGTGGAACGTTGTGCGATCCCACTATTGTATTACAATTTATCGCAGTTGTAATGTAACAAGGTATTTAATACACTATGCAATTCTTATATATATGAAACATAGTATTTATTTAATTAAACAATTGTTATATACCAGAGTATTGAATACACTGACGCAGTTTTTGTATATAACATATGATAGCAATTATGTCATACAGTATCTTATAACTGTACTATTCTCATAAAATAGGTTATAAGAAGAATTCGTTTTATTTTTGGACAAAACAATATCTTAACTTGCCCTAAAAAGACAACAAACATGTTACTGGACTTTGGTAAGAAGCATAGGCAATTACTATATATAGCAAAATAATGAGATTCGTCAACAGTTCCGTTTAGAATTACCAAAAAGTTGTTTTAATACTTTTGCCAATCAGTAACGTGAAATTTTCACAAGGTAACTTTTCCTATGACGAGGTGACTTTTACCTACCACGCGGATGTGGCGATCGCCCACATGACGCCAGAAATGATGCCAGGAAAGATGACTTTAGGGTATACACGGGGACGGTTCTTCATAATGATGGTGTATATACAGTAGTACACGGTACTGGAGAGATATATTCCACAAAAACAGGCGAAAACGTAGTCTAAACCTACAACACAAAAAGGTGACAACAAACAACAAACCAACACATTATCTTAACCTACAACACACAAATAGGCTAACACAAAGTCTGACTTAACAACAACCTATATGCAAAGGTAAAGGCGAACAAATAATTTCACCCTTCTAATTTGTAACACTCTGTCTGATTGGATATCTTGCCGGGGTCTATACAAGCACGTGCAAGGGGAGATAACTAAAACTATATATCTATTATAAACACAGCAAAGATGGCGTCCGACGCAAGCAAGCGTTTGAAGTTTGCCGATCATTCTCAGGATGATTTTTACAACTAATCTAAAACAACAGCAGATTCAACGAAAAATGCTAATGAGGGGGCAGCTAGGTTCCTTATAACAACGATGGTTGTGTATTGTCCGAAATATTGTCGTTATCTCTTAGTTAGGAGGGGTCTACGGGCTCTTAGACCCCTTTGTTCTGTATTGACCAGACGGAGTCTATGACCCCTCCTAACCCAGAGATGACTAAAAATATAAACTTAAAACGAACAAACAGACAAACAAATAATAGTGATTTACAACAACCAGACGAACACATATTCGAACGCAATCAGAAGACAAAGGGGATAACGTTGGTTTCAAATTAGTGGCTGTATGGAGTAAAAGTTATCATTCGCTTTAATCATCGGTGTTAACCTTTTCAAGAAATTTCGATAAGTACTGATATCGATAGAAATACCAGATACTTTTTTTTAATGCTGGTGCTGATGTCAATACATGTATTCAAAAGAATCGAATATAGTATAAAGGATAATTATTACATTTCGCAGTGTATGTATATTTATAAGATTATATGATTAAGCGATACATACTGACTTCCAGCCAGTTTTAAAGATAAAATATGAATACAATTAAAAACGGTAACTTGATTAAGGACTCGATTTGTTGTTCTACTTGAAATCCCACGTTTTTCTCTTATACATGTCAGTGAACAGACCATAATATCTCACTATCCATATTTATTCTATTCTGTTTATTTTTCAATGATCCTAATACCAGAAATCATAACAAAAATTATTGTATGAACTGATTTTTTTTCCTGAGAACAATTTTTCTGAAAATATCTGGTAATGTAAAGAAACAAACGGTGCAGCAAAATGCACAGATTTGGTTTTATTGTAATAAATCATATTTTGAAACAAGAGGTCCATGGGCATTAACGGTCACCTGAGTCCTACAGTATTTATTTTTGTTGTTGAAATATGTACCAATTTGAGTAATAAATTGTTAAGTATAACGTTAACTTAAGTTTGTCAGGACCATGAGCTGATCGTTCCTAGACTGATTTTCAGTTAGATCGGCCTATTAGAACTTTGAAATAGGTATTTTCAAAATAGCGGCCATGGCAGCCAAATTGTGTTTCTGATCGACCTGAAAAATAACAAAACTTTGTCAGGACCATGAGTCAATCATTCCTACCAAGTTTCAGTTCAATCGGCCTAGCAGAACTTGACTGTAAGTTTGAAATGGTTTTTCAAAATGGCGGCCGTGGCAGCCATATTGGATTTCTGATTGACCCGAAAAATAACAACACTTTGTCAGAATCATGAGTCGATCATTCCTACAAAGTTTCAGTTCAATTGGCCTAGCAGAACTTGACTTTAAGTTTGAAATAGTTTTTCAAAATGGCGGCCATATTGGATTTCTGATCGACCCGAAAAATAACAACACTTTGTCAGGACCATACGTCGATCATTCCTACAAAGTTTCAGTTCAATCGGCCTAGCAGAACTTGACTGTAAGTTTGAAATGGTTTTTCAAAATGGCGGCCGTGGCAGCCATATTGGATTTCTGATTGACCCGAAAAATAACAACACTTTGTCAGAATCATGAGTCGATCATTCCTACAAAGTTTCAGTTCAATTGGCCTAGCAGAACTTGACTTTAAGTTTGAAATAGTTTTTCAAAATGGCGGCCATATTGGATTTCTGATCGACCCGAAAAATAACAACACTTTGTCAGGACCATACGTCGATCATTCCTACAAAGTTTCAGTTCAATCGGCCTAGCAGAACTTGACTGTAAGTTTGAAATGGTTTTTCAAAATGGCGGCCGTGGCAGCCATATTGGATTTCTGATTGACCCGAAAAATAACAACACTTTGTCAGGACTATGAGTCAATCATTCCTACAAAGTTTCAGCTCAATCGGCGTAGCAGAACTTGACTTTAAGTTTGAAATAGTTTTTCAAAATGGCGGCCGTATTGGATTTCTGATTGACCCGAAAAAAAAACCACACTTTGTCAGGACCATACGTCGATCATTCCTACAAAGTTTCAGTTCAATCGGCCTAGCAGAACTTGACTTTAAGTTTGAAATAGTTTTTTCAAAATGGCGGCCGTGGCGGCCTTATTGGATATCTGATTGACCCGAAACATAACAACACTTTGTCAGCACCATGAGTCGATCATTCCTACCAAGTTTCAGTTCAATCGACTAAGCAGAACTTGACTTTAAGTTTGAAATAGTTTTTCAAAATGGCGGCCGTGGCGGCCTTATTGGATTCCTGATTGACCAGAAACATAACAACACTTTGCCAGCACCATGAGTCGATCATTCCTACCAAGTTTCAATTCAATCGACCCAGCAGAACTTGACTTTAAGTTTGAAATAGTTTTTCAAAATGGCGGCCGTGGCGGCCATATTGGATTTCTGATCGACCTAATAAATAACAACACTTGGTCAGGGAGATGATAGTAACCTTCCCATGAAATATTAATGAAATCCCTTTGCCAGTATTTCAGCTTAAGTTGAAAATTTAAAATGTTAACGGACGACGCACGACGCACGACGAACGAATAGGTCACTTGAGCTAAAGCTCAGGTGACCTAAAAACAGGTAATGGGGAAATGGATGAAAAATATTCTGAGAGAAAAATTCAGACAAGAATAAACAAAATGTAAATGTTCTATATAATTTGGGTTTAACTGCAGAAATTCACCATGGCTTCAATGAATGTATTGCAAATACTCCAATGACGCGAATCAATAGTATTAGTGACGTCACAGTCGCGTCACAACATGTTGTGAAAGTCAATTCGACATAAATATGCGATTGTTAGCCTTTAACAAACAGTAGAATTCGTATCGCTAGTAATTATCAGTATCCACTGATACTATTTTAAAGCTAACGACAACTAACAAAGAGCAAGTACTATATGGAAACACTTTTCATTTTGGACAAGATTGTGTCTAGTTAAAATAGCCAACTCGCCGGGCCGATGACACTGGCTTTAATATCGACATGGTTTATTCACAACTCTATAGTACATATGCAGAAATACAGTAAAGGGGTCGGTGCCTACAAAAACACTTTAAAGAGTTACAAATTTACAACTGTCGGTTATAATAAACCATTTTTAGACTTGTATTTCATGCTAACAGTGCAGGAGTGGCATATGCGAAATTCATAAATGAATTATTCACTGTCGGGGCTTCAGCATAGAGGATGACCATACATATGAAATGGATATTTAGGCTTTTATCTGCGTCCAGTATCATCATATTATATTATGTATATTATTATTAAAACCGGTTCGTATCAATTTTACAAATCCTCAACTCAAAATGTTGAAAAAAACAAGGTATCAATATTCTCTTTGTAGAATTCATAACCTCCGGTGTCGTAAACCTGACTGAACTATTGCCTATAAGTATAAGTACATGTAATAATATTGAATGTGTAGTCTCTGCGTCAATAATTACATGACTGTTCTTGCAATGCATTCTACCATACCGACCATTTTGACTTGCCCCCTACAATACTGACCATTTTGACTAGCCCCCACCGATACCGATCCTTTTGACTTGGCCCCTTCAATACCAACCATTTTTACTTGCTCCCTAAAATACCGATCATTTTGACTTCCCCCTACAATACTGACAATTTGTACTTGCCACCTACAATACTGACAATTTGTACTTGCCCCCTACAAAACTAACCATTTTGACTTGCCACCTACAATGATGACCATTTTGACTAGCCCCTACAATACCGACCATTTTGACTTGCCCTATACAATACTGACTATTTTGACTTGCCCCCTACAATACTGACCATTTTGACTTGCCCCCGTGACGTTGTCCTGTACGTGTGTTGCTCCAGTAAACATCTGTCCGTAAAGAACTCCAGACACCAGGGACAGTATAAGACCTCTGAAAACAACGACAAACTTCTTTACGGATTAGTTCTGTTAGGAAGCCACTTACAGATGACGACAGTGATACGTGGCATGGAATAGAGAATGTATACTTACCTGGTCTAACATTTATATCTCTATACTTAGGGGTTACAATCTTACTTGATCCTTTATAATTATCTTTTTACATGGATTCCAATACTTTATGGGGTTTGAAGTTTGATACTATTTCTTTTTAATTGCATGTTTTCAATTATATCTGATAATAATTAAAATTCATTTTCATCGAAGATGTTTACAATAGATTTCAATTCAGCAATAAGCAATACGATGTATGACCCATTACTCTGGTGAATGTAATAGCAGCATAGCAGTTAGCACCTCAACATACCATTGTTTTCTGTTCGAAGAACGAAGCCCCAGACAGGCACCGAACGATAGGAAATAAAATACAACTAATACCCAGCAAGACAACCTACTATTGGTTTTATTCGTCGAACAAAGTCTTAAAAGAAATACCAACTCAAATGAAATTTAATACAGCATGTATAATTCCTGATTGAACAAATGAAATCAAAATCGTCTTGCAAAACTATCAATGTTTCGATTAATTGTGTTCCTGTTGAACAGTTGAATGTAGGAGTTTTAACTACTGCAACAAAGCTTTGGATCCATGATTGTTAGGTACCATAACATACCAATGACATTGCCATATTCGCCGCGTAAAAAATATGACACAATATGTATCAAAACGTTTGAAAATCACAAGTTCACATAATTTCATTAATGATATATCGAACTGATATGTTTCGTAATATAGGCAATAGTACATGTATCATGTTTACTTTCCTTCACAAGCTAACAGACATATCGGCTTTTGGGATCTTTGGGGCTTGTCTACTATTGTCATATTCAAAAATGCAAGTACATGTAAAATAAGATATAAAAAGGGCCTGTTTCCAGTAATGTTAATTCTCCATAGGAGCCTGCCCCCGTATAATTTCTTATCTATCTCAACTACTGTTTTTTTCTTTTCCGAAGAATAATTTTACACATTTCCGACACCCAGATTTCATAATTTCAGTGAAAATGTATTTTTATAAAGTTGTCAATTTCAGCATCAAAGACGTAAGTTCGTAAATAAAAGAAGGTTATCTCGAAATTGTAATTCGCAACATAGTATAAATTTCTTTTGATAAATATTTCCAAAACATCGTGTTTATTCATAAAACATAAAAAAAAAAATTCTCGGATGAAAATGCACTTGCAGAGACACAATTATGAAGAAAAATGCCATAAAATTGCAATTTTCTCCCGTTATATAGTTTTGGATGCAAATTTCCATCAGAAAATCGGATAGAGCTTTACTTGTTTCATATGTGTACCAAAAATCAGCTAATTCCATGTGGTGGAACGTTCTCATATCGCCGCCTGAATGTGGTTGTAAATTGAAAGAAAAGGGGAAATGAGTAACAACCTTGTCTGAAACCCTATTATATAGCTTATTATATACAAACTTTTATATTGAATATCAGAGCGGATATTTTCATGACAGTTTTATGATGTGTAACGACTAAATAAACAGTATCGATATAAAGATTTACACTGAGGACACCCTGATACATGAATACTGTTCTATCTCAAGTTGTCCTCTTCTGAATTTTCTGATCGTGTGGCCTTGTACATTTATCCGTATCTTCTTGTCTTTGTCTATACGTTTACGGAATCATTGACTCGACGCTAGCTATTCTTGTCTCACTTTCCTTGTTTTATTGTCCCATCTCCAAAGCGTTGTGGCTCTGTCAGGGTTGGGACCCTGACTTGTCTCACTTTCTTTGTGCCTGCCGACCACGCCACATCGAATAGATAGATTATCCATATGAAATACTTTATTTTGTTCTAAGTAATCAATCAATTCTGCGCTTCTTGGAGGTATTGAATGTGATTTATTATATTGTCTTGTTATTTTGTGTAATTAGTTGTTCGTTATTTATCACACATTTTCGCATAATTGTACCAAACTACTAAGTATTAGCTGTTTACAGCAATCATCGGTGGCTTGCTATTTTGTTACTTTATCGACGCTTCATAAACCAATCGTTATTGTTTCAAGATGGAGGGTAAATGTGTTGGAGAAGGGTGTCAAGTATACTTCAAGAAACGTAGTGGCAATAAGAACAGAAGTGCACGCAATGTAAATAGTCCACAATATAAATGGCTCCTAGATACGCTGGTGCAACAAGGATTGATGTCAGCAAAGGAACAAGCACTTATTTGCCAGAAGTGCTACATGAAGTATCTTCGGAACAAAAATCAGCCTGAACCTGAACCCGAGCAGAACCAGGAAATAGAGGAAGAAGACGACTCCCCGTCCCATATCCTGCCGTTGCTGACCCTTCATGATCTTTTGAATGGATCATCTTCACACAAAAAATGCTGTCTCTGTCTTGTTACCTTTGCAAGAAATGGAACAAAATCATCAGTCTTACCAAAACGTGCAAGACATCACCTGATCTATTCACACAAACTGTGGTGTCCCACCTCATCCCGCGTCTGCTCCATTCACCTTATTGGTAACGACTTAGATCCGTCTACAGAGGTTGTCCTTGATGGTAGAGGTTCCTTGGAATCTCAGTTACCATCAAAATCGTCCGAAATCATTAATGACCTCCTAGAGGTGTCGCACGTCCTTTCACAGAACCAGTCTGCGTTTACAATAAGCTTTTCTTCTCTTGATGACTCGGCATGCATGGCCTGGACAGGTTGGTCCAAAGATCAGTTCCTCGAAATCCACTCGCACTGTTCCCCATATCTTTCATCTGGTATATATACCAAGACTACACACGATGCTCTATTACTGTTCTGGGTAAAACTGAAAACCGACATTTCCTGGAGTCAGTGTTCTTCTCTTTTTGGAATTTCCAAGTCAAGTGTGTCCAAAACTTTCCACTCCATAGTACAGGCATTAGACACATCGATAGTCCCACAATTTCTAGGTCCGGATCACTTGACAAGAGAACAGTTGCTCGGGCACAATACTGTCTTTTCAGAAGCATTTTTTGGAGATAAAGCCACTGCCATATTAGATGGCACCTATATTTATATCCAGAAAAGCTCCGACCACAAGCTCCAGAGAATGTCCTACTGTGGCCAGAAGAAGAGAAACTATCTCAAATTCATGAGCATCGCCTTACCAGATGGCTACATTCTGGACACAGTAGGACCATTCACTGGCAGCGAAAATGATGCTACAATTACAAAAAAAGTCATGGACAAGCTAGTTACTTGGCTACAACCAGACGACAACGTTGTCGTTGACCGAGGTTTTAGAGATGTCCTACCAGTTCTCGAAGCCTCTGGCCTCAATGCTAGCATGCCGTCATACCTGAAACCCGGTCAAAGTCAACATTCTGACGTCCAAGCAAATCTTGACAGAACTATCACCAAATCGAGGTGGATTGTGGAATCCTATCATGGTCGTCTGAAACACTGGACGTTCTTCCGAACGCAATTGGTGTCTAACAGCTTTATCAATGTCATCGAGGCTTTGCTTCGAACCGTCACAGCCTGTCTGAATGGTATTAGAGGACCGATCTACCAGAGATCTCCAGAGAGAGATGCCAAAGATAGGCTAATGGCTGAACGTATGAAGGACCGTTTGACAACACCGAATGGTTTAGCTCAGAGAGTCAAGACAGATCCGGATCTATCTAGACGGGCAAGGTCCGAGTTTGTCAAGATGGATGCATCTTCCGTACTGTTTCCCCGTCTCGATCTTGATTACTTGAGAACCATTACGTGTGGAACGTATCAGATATCTCTGGCTCCTGGTTACATCGCCGAACATTTAAGTGATGACGGAGACTATGAGGTGTGGCTTTACCAGCACTCCCCAGACCTTCTCCGATGTCAAATACATTCTCGACACAAAAGCCAAACGAAATATAACGTTTGGATACGGTTCACCGTTTCACCCGATGTTGAGGCCCCAATAAAGGACTACTACTGCCAGTGCCCAGTTGGAGAGAGAACGATGGGAATGTGTGCGCACATCTCCAGTATCTTGTACTACCTTGGGTATTACAGGACGCTGGAAAACCCTCGACCATTACAACCACAGGTAAAGAAATTCCGACAAAACTTGAAATAGTTTTCCATGCGGCAACGGAGTGCATATGTCGAAAGTATGTTTGGGGCTCGATATGAAAGATCCCCGTTACCATGTGACTAACCAAACTTATAAATATAGGTATTATACAATCGCCCGTAGCTATGAACACTCCCGTAAATGCGAAAACCAACCAAAATCATAAGGAACACGTTTTGTTTGTTGTTCTGTCTATTTGTCAGCCAATGTCTTCAACCACGGGGACTTGTGAAGTAGCCATCTTGGATTTTTTTTATGAAAAAGTGTTTCTCTCACTTTTTTTCATATCTGTGTACATATTCTCAACATACCGAGCAAATACTCTCGTTTTTTTGTTAATTATCTAAAGAAAGTCGAAAATCGGCAATTCAACCATAGGCTAATTCAACCCAACATTTGAAAATGTTCCACCACTTACATTTTGATGATTTTTCCTCTCATCAATAGCATATTACGTACTGTTTAATAGGATAAAAATTGGTTTGCATCCAACGCCCATAAAAGGGTGTATTCTCTAAAAAACACAGTTTTTGTGTCTAAAATGTTATCATCGAAAATGGCATTTTTGAGATTGTTTCTTCCATAAAACAGCCAAATGGCGCGATGGAAACATGATTTTTTGTCACAATCATGCCATGAATGTATTCTTTACGGTGACCATCATTTGATTAGATTTTCATTAATATTTTACATAACATGCACATTTTATCAACACTTAGACAGCTTCTGAAAGGTACAACTTTGAGGAGCCATAAAAAACAAACCAAGTGACCTAAATCTTTATACTTTATAGATTTGTGACCACAACGGCATGGGCAATGCACCACCAACAGGAAATTTGAATCAGAGAAGGGGCCGTTTTGGAAACCGGCCCTTTATCAATTTGCTTTTAGTTTCGTGAAATTGATGTCTTTGGGCTTCCCCTTTGCAAAAAAAGAAGAAGAAAGAAACAAAACAAAAAATTACTAAATGAATACGTTTACCTCGTTTCTGGACTTAACCTGTGCAAATATATTTCACGAATCCGAACTGATCCAATAGTTTGATAACAATGTAAGCCATTGACAAAATATTCTTACACTATCCTTCTACGTGCAGGCGACATCCTCTCTATGAACGAGTCTTCATTGCCATCTCCTTGTATATCTGTTCTGTTTATAGAACTTCCCTGTAAGATATACGAATACACACGTTTGTAAAGATACTTAGGAAAAAGACTATCAGATTCATTAGAGATATGTTCAGTAAACAATGCTTTCTTTTTGGCATTTATTTGAAAAACTGTTTTCAAGTTTTCTAAAGCAACAAGAGCGTACCATGTTTAAATATTTTAGGTGAAAACTTTTCTACATTAATCGATAGTAAAATGAAAGTAAACAGAGGACCCTGACTGATATATTTGTGTTTCATCAAAATCATAATCTTTGGTTTTGTGATACAAAAAAAAGCTTTCCTAACTTGATATTTGAACAATAAAGGAGTGATGATGCCTGTTCTTTATAATTACCAGAATCTGCTCATCATTACATGTATGATGTCTTTGCATACTGTGTCAGAAACAGCGAAAATGGCGTTCTTGTATAGTGTATTAGCACAGAACATGCTTATGTAGTTCTCTTTATGCTTTTACAGCGTAACAGAAAACACACAAGATAATAGTGTGTATGTATGAGAAACAGTAATGCAACGGTGTTTTTGTCTTCTGTACACTCTGCATTTTATGTTAATCGTGTCAATCAAACAAAAACAATAATTAACAGGTTTCTGTTGAATAAGATATAATTCCCTAGTTTACAGAATATGCTACCGTACGAGTGACATATTTCTTGTATTCAAGGAAAAACCATGAAATTTATCATGACATTTTAAGGTAACTGCAACGACAAAACTTTTCTGCATGAAAAGAGTGCGGGATTTATAGTGTAATCTTTGGAGGCATTTTGATGATGTTACGCTCAACAACAAGAGTACCGCGGGGCGAAACAATATACGCCCGTCGAATGCCATATTGTGTTATATACTTTCTTACATTAGAATAAGATCTGCATCATTCTAAGAGTGGCTAGCTGACATGCTATAAAAGTGTAGGAGAAAATATCCGGACAAAAAAATCAAATACTGATATAAACAAAGGGCAATAACTTTTGCAAAAATCGTCGAATCAAAATTCTGTTATTGGCTACACAACTTCATATCATGATTATAATGTATACCAAGTTACAAGAGAAAAGAGAAAAATGTAGGAGGGGATTGGCGGACAAAAGTCAAATAAAGGGCAATAACTTTTGCAAAAATTGTCGAATCAGATCTTTTCAAGGAAACACAACAACATAACATATCATGATTATTAAGCCTACTAAGTTTCAAAGAAATCTGTCAAAAAATGTAGGAGAAGATCTCCGGACAGAAAAATAAAATACTGAAATGAACAAAGGGCAATAACCTTTGCAAAAATGGTTAAATCAAAATTCTTTTCAGGGAAACACAACATCATGTCGTGATTATTTAGCCTAATAAGTTTCAAAGAAATCCGTTAAAAAATGTAGGAGAAGATCTCCGGACAAAAAAATCAAATACTGAAATAAACAAAGGACAATAAATTTTGGAAAAATTGTCAAATCAAAATTCAGTTAAGGGAGACACAATTTCATATCATGAATATAATGTATACCAAGTTTCAAAGAGATCGGTCGAAAATGTAGGAGGAGATTGCCGGACAAACAAAAGGTTTACGCCGGACGGAGGTACGGACGACGCCATACCATAACACTTCCGTCAAATTTGACCGGCGTATAAAAAGGCAGTGCACCTTTTCTAATCGGTCCCCTATCTGACGAGATTGGCTTACAAAACTAATAGTGTAGTAAAATATTGAAGTGTATGTTACAAGGAAGTATCAAAACAAGCACTTATTGTATCGTCATTTTCATCTGCATATGACACAAAAACAAAACTTCGGCTTTAAATGCAGCAAACAGATCTCTTCACACTGTGGACACTTTTTACATCTGTCACAGTGTGATAGGTATCAGTTTTAAAGCTCACAAGATCCAATATCTCACTGGCGAAAATGTAATTACTGTTTGTTATTCTCTCATTCAACATATCGATTTTCTGAAAATAAAAAACCCATATCTGAACTTGGTGTCAGGCATAGCCAACATTTACTGCAAATCTGACAAACCAGTATCATTATTGAATTTGTCGTATTAGAAGAGAACATTATGAGCGCTGTGGTACTTGATAGGCTTAAAAAGGAACTTATACATTGTTGATACAATCGCAATTAAACGATGTACTCATGTATTATGTTTGTCAATTATAAACAGGTTGTAAATACTTGTGTATTGAGGATAAAACCTGCAAGAAAAAGACTATCAGATTCATTAGAGATATGCTCAGTAAACAATGCTTTCTTTTTAGCATTGATTTGAAAAACTGTTTTCAAGTTTTCTTAAGCAACAAGAGCGTACCATGTTTAAATATTTTAGGTGAAAACTTTTCTACATTAATCGATAGTAAAATGAAAGTAAACAGAGGACCCTGACTGATATATTTTTGTTTCATCAAAATCATAATCTTTGGTTTTGTGATACAAAAAAAAGCTTTCCTAACTTGATATTTGAACAATAAAGGAGTGATGATGCCTGGCGAAACTGTTTCGTTTGGATGTTTATGTAATTGTTTCGAAAAGGGTTACAGGAATGTTCTTTGCAGAAACAATATCAACAGTCGCTAAATGCCGTTTAATACGACCCAGTCTTCAACATTATAGAAAGGAAGCTAGTATAAATCTCTTTATCATGAATACGGCACTTCACATGGTTACAGACAAAATGTCAATTAAAGGAAACAAAATATAGAACACTAGCTCATTTCTTTTTTTGTATGAATAAACATTCGCATCTTCCAATCTATCAGAAACAGCACAAGGCAATGTTGTTCTTTATAATTACCAGAATCTGCTCATCATTACATGTATGATGTCTTTGCATACTGTGTCAGAAACAGCGAAAATGGCGTTCTTGTATAGTGTATTAACACAGCACATGCTTATGTAGTTCTCTTTATACTTTTACAGCGTAACAGAAAACACACAAGATAATAGTGTGTATGTATGAGAAACAGTAATGCAACGGTGTTTTTGTCTTCTGTACACTCTGCATTTTATGTTAATCGTGTCAATCAAACAAAAACAATAATTAACAGGTTTCTGTTGAATAAGATATAATTCCCTAGTTTACAGAATATGCTACCGTACGAGTGACATATTTCTTGTATTCAAGGAAAAACCATGAAATTTATCATGACATTTTAAGGTAACTGCAACGACAAAACTTTTCTGCATGAAAAGAGTGCGGGATTTATAGTGTAATCTTTGGAGGCATTTTGATGATGTTACGCTCAACAACAAGAGTACCGCGGGGCGAAACAATATACGCCCGTCGAATGCCATATTGTGTTATATACTTTCTTACATTAGAATAAGATCTGCATCATTCTAAGAGTGGCTAGCTGACATGCTATAAAAGTGTAGGAGAAAATATCCGGACAAAAAAATCAAATACTGATATAAACAAAGGGCAATAACTTTTGCAAAAATCGTCGAATCAAAATTCTGTTATTGGCTACACAACTTCATATCATGATTATAATGTATACCAAGTTACAAGAGAAAAGAGAAAAATGTAGGAGGGGATTGGCGGACAAAAGTCAAATAAAGGGCAATAACTTTTGCAAAAATTGTCGAATCAGATCTTTTCAAGGAAACACAACAACATAACATATCATGATTATTAAGCCTACTAAGTTTCAAAGAAATCTGTCAAAAAATGTAGGAGAAGATCTCCGGACAGAAAAATAAAATACTGAAATGAACAAAGGGCAATAACCTTTGCAAAAATGGTTAAATCAAAATTCTTTTCAGGGAAACACAACATCATGTCGTGATTATTTAGCCTAATAAGTTTCAAAGAAATCCGTTAAAAAATGTAGGAGAAGATCTCCGGACAAAAAAATCAAATACTGAAATAAACAAAGGACAATAAATTTTGGAAAAATTGTCAAATCAAAATTCAGTTAAGGGAGACACAATTTCATATCATGAATATAATGTATACCAAGTTTCAAAGAGATCGGTCGAAAATGTAGGAGGAGATTGCCGGACAAACAAAAGGTTTACGCCGGACGGAGGTACGGACGACGCCATACCATAACACTTCCGTCAAATTTGACCGGCGTATAAAAAGGCAGTGCACCTTTTCTAATCGGTCCCCTATCTGACGAGATTGGCTTACAAAACTAATAGTGTAGTAAAATATTGAAGTGTATGTTACAAGGAAGTATCAAAACAAGCACTTATTGTATCGTCATTTTCATCTGCATATGACACAAAAACAAAACTTCGGCTTTAAATGCAGCAAACAGATCTCTTCACACTGTGGACACTTTTTACATCTGTCACAGTGTGATAGGTATCAGTTTTAAAGCTCACAAGATCCAATATCTCACTGGCGAAAATGTAATTACTGTTTGTTATTCTCTCATTCAACATATCGATTTTCTGAAAATAAAAAACCCATATCTGAACTTGGTGTCAGGCATAGCCAACATTTACTGCAAATCTGACAAACCAGTATCATTATTGAATTTGTCGTATTAGAAGAGAACATTATGAGCGCTGTGATACTTGATAAGCTTAAAAAGGAACTTATACATTGTTGATACAATCGCAATTAAACGATGTACTCATGTACAAAATGTAGTAGAAGACTGTCTGATGAAGTGAAGCAATATCAGCTCACCCTTCTCCTGTTGAAGACGAGGATGTCCTGTGTACTGGTAGTGGTATAGAGAGATTCAGTCGATGAGGCGCCATAGTTCGGCATCTAAAACACGTAATACTCACCATAACGTATCATTACAATATTCATACAACAGCACCACAGCACACGGACCAAATCCGAACTTAACGTCAATACAAATAGAACGACGTAAAGATGGAGAGGAAAATCTGACGCTTCAGCAAGTGGTACACGTCATGATGTTTCAGGTCACATCAAATAAAGTATGTAGGTCACCAACAATCACAGTCAACAAGACTTATAGTTAGAAATCTGGTCAAGATTACGACTACCATGGTACTCAAATTTAAGCTTTATTTATTTTACTACAGTTACCCATATGGTAGGGTAGGCGACCCTTAAATCTTTTTACATCTGATCGGGGAATCGAACACGGATCGTCTTGGTGAAAGGAGAGTGTGTTATGTAATACTTTCAATTCACTGTTTCCAATACTTGAAACCTGTCCATTATAAGCCTTGGCTAATATTTGTTTTGATCATCAGAACATCTCTATCCAGTAAATTCTTTTATTAAACAGATACAAGCTCTTTTAGTTAATATAGTCTAGTATGACTCAAAGCCGTAATAAATTACAGTTGTATCATATCGTCACTTTTCTATAAACTGACTTAAGAGTTCAAATGCACATTTTCTGTAAAACAGAAACATAATTCAGCAATCACGTGATTCTGAACCAGAAATACACAATAATTACTCACGTGATCACGGAGAAGCTTATGTTCATCCTCTTGCGAGACTTTCTCCTCGTCAGGAGGGTGAAGCTCATTTTTTATTAGAGAAAATATAAAAGCACTGAAAAACACAGATTTGTACGGCTACTTGTATTTTTCTATAATATGATGTCAGTAACACCAGGAGAATACCGGAGAAAGATCCAAAATGTAGGATTTTCCCGTTCGAACGAGCTTTTAATGAATGTAATCAGAAAATCGTTTCCTTTTGCACTTATTTGCGAACCTTTTCCCTCAAGATCCTTGTTCTGAATGTGTGTCGGTAAAATTAAGGGAAACAAAGGAAATGTTTTACGATTGCAAACAAATAATAATCTATTTATGAATTGCAACTTTATGTTGGGTCGTCAGCATTATTATGTTAAAATGTGATAAATGTAATATTTCTGTCAAAGGAAGGCGATCTTACATGTACCATTTCAGTTACATTGCTGTTAGTGATTGATACGAAATCTTTGATAAATTACCATAAATACGGCCTTTAAAATGTTACTGTTTATCGTTAAGAATATTTAATGTTATATATTGCCTCCCATACTCTAGCTAACGCTTTGAAACAATTCATCTAAAACTCGTATGAACATAATCCTTAACCGAATACATCAGTAGATAAACATATATCTGTATGGGATTTTATGATAGTTACATAAGCTTTTAGCCAGTCAGTTATCTTACGAAAGATTGCACTACACAAATGTATCAAATGTTCTCACTTCATCACTCGTTATTTATTCATTTATTTATAACACAGACTCGCGCTATTTGATACTATGCTTAATTTGACATCCATAGAAATATCAATGCGAACGCATGCTGTTTAAGACTTATTTTCAAACACACGGCCATTAGTAAGTATGAGAAGTGTCGAATATGAATGTTCAATTAATATAACAGCAATCCACAGGGAATGTATTCTTACAATTATGACGTCGTATAATAAAGAGGTCAATACGAGTTAAAAACAGCCAGTGTTAATCCTATGCCGTTTAGTATTACTTTATCTAAATACAGTCAGTGACATGGCTATGTGTAATATTAATTTATAACAATTACTATGGACTCCAGTGTTAATTACCCTACATACAGTCAGTGATACGTGTAGTCTAGTAATAATTACGCTACATACAGTCAGTGATACTGTGTAGTCCAGTGTTAATTACGCTACATACAGTCAGTGATACTGTGTAGTCAAGTGTTAATTACCCTAATGCAGTCAGTGATACTGTGTAGTCCAGTGATAATTACCCTACATACAGTCAGTGATACTGTGTAGTCCAGTGTTAATTACCCTATATACAGTCAGTAATACTGTGTAGTCCAGTGATATTACGCTACATACAGTCAGTGATACTGTGTAGTCAAGTGTTAACTACCCTAATGCAGTCAGTGATACTGTGTAGTCCAGTGATAATTACCCTACATACAGTCAGTGATAATGTGTACTCCAGTGTTAATTACCCTACATACAGTCAGTGATACGTGTAGTCTAGTAATAATTACGCTACATACAGGCAGTGATACTGTGTAGTCCAGTGTTAATTACGCTGCATACAGTCAGTGATACTGTGTAGTCAAGTGTTAATTACCATAATGCAGTCAGTGATACTGTGTAGTCCAGTGATAATTACCCTACATACAGTCAGTAATACTGTGTAGTCCAGTGTTAACTACCCTGCATACAGTCAGTGATATTATTTAATCCAGTGTTAATTACCCTACATACAGTCAGTGATACGTGTAGTCTAGTAATAATTACGCTACATACAGTCAGTGATACTGTGTAGTCAAATGTTAATTACCCTAATGCAGTCAGTGATACTGTGTAGTCCAGTGATAATTACCACACATACAGTCAGTAATACTGTGTATTCCAGTGTTAATTACCCTACATACAGTCAGTGATACGTGTAGTCTAGTAATAATTACGCTACATACAGTCAGTGATACTGTGTATTCCAGTGATAATTACGACACATACAGTCAGTAATACTGTGTAGTCCAGTGTTAATTACGCTACATACAGTCAGTGATACTGTGTAGTCCAGGGTTAATTACCCTACATACAGTAAGTAATACTGTGTAGTCCAGTGATATTACGCTACATACAGTCAGTGATACTGTTTATTCCAGTGATAATTACCACACATACAGTCAGTAATACTGTGTATTCCAGTGTTAATTACCCTACATACAGTCAGTGATACTACGTAGTCCAGTGTTAATTACCCTACATACAGTCAGTGATACGTGTAGTCTAGTAATAATTACGCTACATACAGTCAGTGATACTGTGTAGTCCAGGGTTAATTACCCTACATACAGTAAGTAATACTGTGTAGTCCAGTGATATTACGCTACATACAGTCAGTGATACTGTGTAGTCAAATGTTAATTACCCTAATGCAGTCAGTGATACTGTGTAGTCCAGTGATAATTACCCTACATACAGACAGTGATACTGTGTAGTCCAGTGTTAATTACCCTACATTCAGTCAGTGATATTATGTAATCCAGTGTTAATTACCCTGCATACAGTCAGTAATAATGTGTAGTCCAGTGTTAATTACCCTACAAACAGTCAGTGATACTACGTAGTCCAGTGTTAATTACCCTTCATACAGTCAGTGATACTGTGTAGTCCAGTGATAATTACCCTACATACAGTCAGTAATACTGTGTAGTCCAGTGATAATTACCACACATACAGTCAGTAATACTGTGTATTCCAGTGTTAATTACCCTACATACAGTCAGTAATACTGTGTAGTCCAGTGATATTACGCTACATACAGTCAGTGATACTGTGTATTCCAGTGATAATTACCACACATACAGTCAGTAATACTGTGTAGTCCAGTGTTAATTACCCTACATACAGTCAGTGATGCTGTGTAGTCCAGTGTTAATTACCCTACATAGAGTCAGTGATACTGTGTAGTCCAGTGTTAATTACCCTACATACAG